CTAGGATATTGTCATGATGGAATATTTATCGAAAATTATGTTTATTAGTTACAAGTAATTTAAACTAAAAGTTTCTACTTTTCCTATTATTTTCCTAAAATTTATACAGTGTTGCTATTATTTTTAGACAAATTAAAATACTTATGCACTTATTACAATATAGATCCAAAACATTTTGTACCAATAATTGATCATTTTCAAAAGCGAAGGCTACATGACTACATCTTGATGATGATGTCCTTCTATGTTTTATTTTATTTCTATTTTTTTAATGGTCCTTGATCAAATCTTTTTCTCTTGTTATTTTACAACTTTATCCCAAGTTCTTTTCTTAGTTCAAAGTATCTATGGTCAAATGATACATTGTTTGGCACGTCCTATATGTATCAAATATGCAGGTGTGTGTTGATTCATGATGTACATGTTGGATATGGGATACATCATCTGCATAGAGTGTATTTGCAACTTAGTTGTACAAATCCTCTTGTTTTTTCTAGGTTTTATTTATTTATATATTATTTTATTTCTTTATTTCATTTGTATGAAATCTATGGTCATTCATAGTAAGAAAGGAAAGATATAGTTGGCCTTTAAATAATCTTTCACTTATTCTGCACATATATTTTAACAATCATAGATAATCATATATGAAAGAAAATGAGTTCACTCTTTACATTTTTAAAAGTGGCATATATTAACACTATTTTGAATTAAGTTGTGTATACACATGAAGGGAATATGAGTACATACTACAAGAAATTGGAAAAAGTAGGGAGAATTCTTTTTATAGCAAAATTCTCTAACTAAATTAGAAACTCTCTTGAAATGGAAATTACATAATAAATCTTAAGCTGCATTTACAATCTCGGGATGATGAGGATGAAGAGATGATAGTAGTCTAGTCGATGAACAGATTTGAGAAGTTTGATAATCAATTTTTCATAATATCTGAGTCTGACACTTAACATTACCCATGTTGAGTGTTGACACGCATGCACAAGTCCGTGTAACACAAAATAAAGTCACAAATAGATTGTACAACTTTTGCATAGATTGTGCAGACAAATGCTAGTAGGGATAGTAAAGGCTTTTTCTATTGTAGATGCTACTATGCTTAATGATGTCTATTCAAGCTTGGGATACTTCTGATGATGAGAAGAATTTATGCTGCAATCAGAATATCTGCAAAAAGGTCCGTATGAAAGTTGCCATGAAGCAAACATCTATATGATTGCTATCGTATGCATAAGTTTCTTAAGTTATTCTTGTGAGTGCATTTTTTATGGACTATAGAGAATACTATTTTATAATTATTATTATTTTTTATTAAAAAAAACCCTGAAAGGCAGCTAATTCCTTGACATGGCAGCCCTTATGTGTCTCAAGAGTCCTTTCTATTGAGGCTTCATATTCACTAAATAAATTATATACTTCGTGGAGCACTAATTTGTTCAAGTAAAATTCTATATTTATGGTACCAATACCCTTATTATATCTTGAAGATTCAACAGTATCCTATCATCTCGACATGATTCGGAGCAGCTTATCTTTTGCAAGATATGGTTATCTTTGCTTGATAAAGTTCAAGTGTTATAATTAATTACAACCGAGAACCAACCCTCAAATGCAATTGTATGTATCTGGTATGGTTTCCATTCACAAAGTACTGTAGTAAATTGGTATTTAAGAGTTTCTGGAGCCCCTCTCTCCTTTTCCTCTTTATTTAAATTATATCTTAGAAAAGGATATATACAGTACTGAACTGGTAGTTCCCAATTGTTGCTGAAAGTGACAGAAACCATTAGGAAAAGAAAAAGAGGAGTAACAAACATCATGAAGCCTTTAGCATTCATAAAACACTGTAGGTGATGTACGAAATGGCCCTTTTATGTTGAAGTCCATCTTTGATGTAAATAATTTCACAATGTAATAACTAGCGTGTTTACACTTGTTTAATACAAAGTACATAATTTCTGGAATTCATCTTTTTGTTTTGAAAGAAGATTAAGGTATGTTAAAGCATGCAATATTTCATAAAAGACTACATATAAAGTATTTGGATATTCCATTATAATTGTACATTTGTTATTAGTAAGTTTTTCCGCCGATTTCTTTATATAATTGAGCCCCACACCCACCCACTTCTTTTTTCACTCCTCTGCAGAAGACAAGATATACTTTTTATAATGAGACGGAGGGAGTAACTATATTAAGCTTAGTCAAATTCTCTCTCTCCCTCTCCCTCTCCCTCTTTTGTGTTGCCTAAGTGATCATTACTGTTCTTTTTATGTATGCATACTTTCTTTTTTTTCTCCACTGAGAATGTATTAATGGAATTGCAATGCAACGTTTCGTTTATGTGGCTAGGATAAGGGAATTTCCTGCTTTTGTCTATACTTGCCTTGTATGATGCTGTAAACATGAAGTGATTTAAAGCAGTAAGTGTTGGCTGCGTGCTTAAATTTCATCCAAGCTACTAGTATTAATGTTGTCCAGGTCGGGATTCTTATCAACATAAGAGACAGTGATTGAAGAAAAGAACCACTACATATGCCTGAAGGAAACATGAGATCATATTCTGATCCCCCTCCACCCACACACCTATCTTTTACTCCTAATTCTTTAACAAAGGAGTAGATGTGACCACGCATTTGCATAAAGGAAACATTATAGAGGTTTCATGTGTAGGAAGAGGAGTCTGATTTTCACTTCCCCCAACTCTCACTTCACTTGGCCTGTGGAATCAGAATAAAGGGAGAATCTCTTCTTTTCTCTGGACTTTCTTTACCAATTAACAATCTGCAATTTTTTTTATTTTTTTTTTCTGCAGTAAGGTGAACAAGGAGGACATGACAATGACTGATGATTGAAAGGTAAATATTTTACATCTATCACTATTGTGACCTCTTTTATTTATTTATTTTTTTTTTTTTTCAATTGTTACCTTTTCCTTTTCTGGTTATCAGTGATTCTCTTATCGTTGGTGTCTGCTATTTTGGGTATTCTTAGCCCAAAGAATCGAACTTAGTGTTCTTGAGCAATGAGAAATATCCTGGGATTGGCTGTTTAATCAGAATTTTAACTTCATATTAATTGATAGCATTAGATGAAAATTAAATTGCGGTCTTTGGATACCTCAAAATTAGACTTATGGTTATCAGTTCTCTGTGATTTTTCAACCAAGAATAGAAAAACCTATCATCAAGTCTTTTACTCCTTCCGTCCTAGAATACATGAGACGTTGGACTTTTTTCACCATTCATGCATTAGTTTTGACTATATTTTTTTTACTAACATAATAAAAACATATTTTATCATAAAATATGTTGTTAGATAGGTATTAATATGAAGTTTTATAATATAATTTTTAAAATAATTTTCATTAATATTTAATTATATAAAAGTAAAGTCAAACAAGGGCATTGACATGTGTGCAATGTTGACTATGTCATGTATTCTGGTACAGAGGGAGTATTAGTTTTTGGTTTGTAAAATACAATTTGTTTGTAGTAATACTGCTAGTATCTTACGGTATCTTAAGCAGAATCTTTATTTCTCAAAAAGGTGAATATATGTTGGCGTATTTAAATCGAGTCATTTCCTGAAGTGTATTACTATAATATTGTATGAACAGAATAAATTTAGTGTGTTTACACATTTAATTTAGACAAGCATCACAACTGTGTTGAATCCAACTTGCTGCGCTAGATAGCACAATTATGAGTAATTTTTTTATTTTCTCACTGAATTGAACAAGGAAATATAGTCAAAATCTTATGATTCTGCTTTTTGGAGGAGGATAGTAGGTTTAGTGTTACCTATATTTGTCCCAACATGGAAGAGTTAGGCCCTTAATTGTGATCCTTCATCTTCCAAAGATACTGTTTTACTTGACACTCTTTAAGCTCTTAGAGGTAGAAGTAGCCTTTTAGAAGATATGTTCTTGCCAATTAAACTAAACTTAATTATTCCAAAAGAGGTTATTAAGGATAATGAATTATTACAAAAGTTGGCAACTAGAATTTGAAATCCAGTTTTTTCATTCTAAGCTACAAATAAGTAGGATTCGTTGTTTATTAACTAGTTGTTTATAAATTGTTTTTGTTGAGTGCCTGTCATTTCTTGCATAACTTATATTCCTTTTGTGATTGATACATCTGCAATCTCTTAATATAATGAGAATCTTCATAACATGTTAAATCAAGCACCTGTTTTGTCCAAAATAAGGAAAAGAGGAAATCAATTCTTAGCTTTGGCTCTTTTAAGATAGATTCTTCTGTCTTATGCTACAAATATTATAGTACTCGAGAATATGATATCTAATCCTAAAAATGATGTTTATGGTTAGAAAAGTAGGGCAATCACAACTAAATGTGGTATATGCCAAGCAATTGTTTTTGCTAAGTGAATCATATGTTTTATGATTGTTTAAAGTGCCTTTTTACCATGAACTGCCTACAATTATAGGCTTGTAGCACACTCAATACAAAATCATGGGCCTGGTCCACAATTTAAAAAAAATGTTCCCAGGGCACTGAGCCGGAAAACTGCAGCTCAACCCCTATCAAACCGACCTGGTTGAGCAGTCCCATGACTAATACAGTTTGAACTTGATTAGTAGGGCCAAAAAAACTGCTGCCCAAGCCTGTCTTGAATCAGGTCAGGATTAGCTGTACTTTGCCACTACTTAAGGTTTTTTTGTTGTCACTGGAAAGGGATGAATGTATTTCAACCTTATTTTAACACTAATATTATTTCCTGCACAATGCATGGTATCTTTTTTTAAAAATAAAAAATTAATAAATTAATGTTACAAGCAATAACTGAAAGGGGTTTCAAAAGAGGTTGAAGGGGTCAAATTAGGTGTATGAATAACAGTTAACCCAGTTCTTTAATTCCTTTTCTTAGTATTGATAGAGACTTACGTTAGAAATACTCATTTCATCAATTGGGTTATGGGTTGAAGATTGGCAACTCCATTTGAGTTTTTTTTTTAAAAAAAAAAAAAAAGATTATGTAGGTAGCAAATAAGGTTATGGTTTTATACTTAACCATAAATATCAATATAAATAAAAGAGCCATTAGATTTAGTTTGCTTTATTATATTGGGGAATTGACGAGATTTGATCAAGATGTATGTAGCCTAAGTGCCTATTTTGTAACTAGAATTAACTAGTAGATCTGTAGATGTTCAGTGACAATCTGAGTTTTTAAGGTAAAAAGGCTTGAGGATAGAGGTCTGATTTCTTCTGATTTATGTTTCTTAGATGAAGAAGTAGATAATTGTGGTTAATTGGCATAATGTTGTTTTAATTACTTAGTTTTGCAAGCTACACAACACACTGGGTAAATATTTGAACTTCTTTCGTTCAAAAGCTGTGTAAGCTCTCAATTTACGCTGTTTGATGAAGTATAAGTTCATATAAACAAGGATGAGTTAGAAAATATTAATGCATTACAATGTTTTGTACAGGTTTGTTAAGTGTTACCAAACTGTCAAATATTTGCCGCGAGGGTCAATTTTCTATTTTAATCTAACCTGGGGTTTATATGCTCTGTTTTTTTATTTATTTTTTTATTTTTTAATAGGAACAGAGAATGTTCTCTCTGAAAAATCATAATCGTCTGGTATGGTGAAGTTTCCCCATACTTCTTGCCCATCCAGAGTCCCCATTCATGTGAAAAGAATTGACAAAAAAGGGGCTTTATAATTGCTTTCTGAATCAACCAAAAAGAACAGAGAATAGTCTAGGTGTACGAATACATTAATAGTCTAGTGCTCTTGAGTCTGTTCTTTTTGGTTGATTCAGTTTCTAGGTGTACACTTATTGAATATGAGCATTCTAGCTAGACTCAAGAGCACCAAATGAAAAATAATTCACCATGCACCCACCTAGTGAACCGAGTTTCATGCAACCACTGGCTTGTGCACTAAAACGGTGGTGTGTGTGGCTGGCTCGTGCGTTACATATTTACATGTGCCAATCGCGAACATTTCACGTGTCAGTGCATGTGGTGCACGCCCATCTACATCAGGGTGTACCGTATAAGCAGTGTGGTGAAGATATTTACACGCAGTATAAAAGATGAGAAAAGTTAAATCAAAACCTTGTACTTCACAGTATCAAATAAGAATTGAGTGTCTTAAAAGCTATTGCAGATCACTGGAGGATACAGAAAAATTGGAATCTGCAGGAGTTAAATTTCACGGCCAATAAAATGACAAACAAGCCAGGTTTGTCCGTCTGATATTTATTTTTTTAAGCTCCTTACTGCAGAACTAAAGGCAAAATGCTATTCCTATTTCACAGTGCATCCATTATCTGTTGCTTTTATGCTCCATACCATATCGTTCATCTCACAATCATTTAATTGTGGCCCCCGATATCCCTACTTAAGAACATTCTTACTTCTCTCTTTTTCTCTTTCCTCTCCTGGAATCCTGCTATATAAACACCATTTGGCTTGTCCTTATGATATCAATCAACACTCAAGCCTCACTTTGAGTTTTAAAACACACCGACACTATTCCGTACTCCGTACTCTGTATATTTCACAACCAAATTCATTTCCTTACACTTGTACCACTATCACAGTAATGGAGCGTAACCAATTGCATCGTCAAGTTGCTCAGATGAGACAATCTTTCTTTGATCAGGTTTCCTTTGTTCTTCTAACCTACTTGGTTCTTGGATTTAGGATATGTAATTTGTTAAGTTGCGTTATTCTGTCCTTGCTTAATAATGGATCATTTTGCAGGGATTTTTGGATGAGCAATTTGTTCAGCTAGAAGAATTGCAGGATGACACCAACCCGAATTTTGTAGAGGAAGTTGCAACTCTTTTCTATAGAGATTCAGGAAGGTTGCTAACCAATCTAGAGCAAGCAATGTAAGCCATTTTCTTCATCTTTCTTTTCAATGAAATTCTCAAGTTATTATGTAACCAGTTACCAAGCCTGATACTTCAACAACATTGACAATTTTAACCAAGTTTTTCCCCTGTTTACAGGGAAAGGAGTCCACTAGACTTTGTGAGGTTGGACAACATCATGCAACAGTTCAAAGGAAGTTGCTCAAGGTATGCATGAAAAAACGAACAGCTACATATCTGATAAACTTAATGATTAGTTATGAGTAGCAGTCTTTGGTTTTGAAATCTAACCTCATAGTTTTCTGTTGGTGCAGCATCGGAGCCAAGAGGGTGAGAAATGAATGTAATCAGTTCAAAGAATATTGCAGGGCAGGAAACAGTGATGGGTAATTCTCTTGGTCCCGGAATCTTTGTTCTATCAGTCTAACTTACATAGTCTTTGTCAGCTTGAGAAAAGGGTATTACATGTTTTGAAGACACTCTAGTTTCTCGCTATTAACTTAAGATCATTTTTGAGATTCTTTAAAAACCTAAGGCGGCTGCTTATTTAATAACTTGAGGTATCAATTAAAGTTACTCATGGATTGTTACATACCATATTAGACATCTACACACTTGACATAATAAACTTTAATGAACAAATCTTACCACCCAACTGCTGGCCAGTGTAGGAAGTAGGAACTATATTTTGTTTTTCTTTCGGCTCCTTAAATTTATTGCCTTGTGCTTTTGCATGGTGTGAGCAGCTGCATGAGGACTTTCCAGCAATTGAAGAGAGAATATGCGACTCTTAAAAGGAAACTTGAATCCTACTTTCAGGTTTTTATATTCATATTATTTCGGCTATTCCAGTTATTCCTTTATTTTGATTTGAAAGAAAATATCAGTACTTTTTAATTATTCCTGTCGCCATTAATGTTACTACGTATTCTCTGTGTTGCTAACTACTTGTTAATGGTTTTCAGTTGGTTAGACAAGTTGGGCCCAGGGAAATGGCTACTCGCCCACGCTAGATAGATGTTGTTGTAGGAGAAGTGGCTCAGAAACTTGATTGGCGAACTTCATACCAGTTTATGGTCTAGAAATTTTAGCTGCTGGAGCTTTTAGGCCCTGTTTCTTCATCTATACGTGATGAAAATGGGAGAGTTTAGCATGTTTTACTTTGCTTTAACTCCTGTATGTTAGAAATATATGTTGTACGAGTCTTATGTTGAATGTAAGGAATGTTAATGATAATTACCTGCTGCAGTTGATTAATGGTCTACTTATCTTTTGGAACTTAAAATTTTCATTCACTGACCGAGAATTAGCAGGAACACAGTAATGGTCTAGGAGCATGAAACCTGCTCATTTTGACTGTGATAATAGAAAAACTCAATGCAATCAACATTAAAAATGCAATGTGATTGGACTGAAAATGAAGAAATTCATCGAAACACCTTGGACTTCTACACTTGCTGTTGATGTTCTCGTGTGACTTATATAGCTGGTGTTGATGACGTTCTCGATATCTTAGTGTTTTTTAATAAGGTTATGCTTAGGAGCAAGTAAGAATACTCCGCAATGTCAAAAGTTATGTTGGGGTTTTTGGTGGTGATTGGTGAACCTGCATGTCTTATTTGGCAAGCTTGCTTGTTTTGGTTGCTGTTAGTTCTACTTTAATAGACGAGAAACCACAAGTATCTTTCTTTCAGACTTCATAGGCTATGATGCAGTCATATATTGGTATAATGAGAAAATAAATAAAGAATCTAGTAAAATTACTTACTTTCTTATTTCTAAATAATAGGCCACATTTTTATATTAGATATTCAAAATTAATATGTCACTGTGTAAATTTCACTTATCAGTTATCACCCTTAAGGCCTTAACAATAGCCTTAAATTAGACAAAAGTTGAAAAGTGGGGGGTGTTTTGGTGGCTAAATGGAGATACAAAATTTTTTTATATTGAAAGATAATTATGGTATTTTAGCTCAATTTCTTAGTTTAGTTGACACTAAGATCGTTTATGGTCTATTAGTTAGATTGAGTGGTACTACTTTTAAAATTTCGACACGTATAGTTTGAAATTCTTGCTTAAATGTTAATTGTTATAGTGTCTGACATGTTGGTTATACAAAGAAAGGTAAACACAATCATAAGTTGCACACATGCTATTCTAGAATTTTTGTATTCTAGAAACTAAGTTACTTAAAGATGGTCCATTTCAGCAAAACCAACAATGTCAATGTGGACATGTTAGAACTTCAAAAGATGTTATTTGTGAATTGTGGCAGATTCTTCGTTGTGGGACAATTCAAGTTTTAAAAGGTATGAAGAAGCATCCAATTCTAACTTAAAATTTATCCTCTTTGATAGAGAAAGTAGGTGTTTGGATGCATTGGACCTAATCCTTGATACAACTATTGAGGATATTTTTAGGAGAGTGTACAAAAACCTTAATCATAGAATTATAAAGTAATAAACAAAGTTATCATTGGTTTTTAGAAAAGATAATCACCACTCGTAAAGTTCAATTGTTAGTCTCGATAAAAAAAAAAAAAAAAAAAAAAAAAAGCTCACTTGAGAGAGGAAGTAAGAGAAACCCACGAGGATATAATTAGGGGAGTGATGTCACTACCTTACCAGTTAGTTACCACCACAATCTCAATTGTTAATTTACTTGTGCATCTATCAAGGTTAAGAGTAATATTGGTACTATAAGGGCATGATTATCTTGAAAGTATGTTGTTTAAAGATATAACAAATAAATTTTTTACATGGTGCACACTTTTGAGTAACACTTTGTATGATTATTTAAAGTATTATTTGGCCTTTTGGATGGTTTGTATAATTATATTATATTAGGAGAATTGTATTCCTCTCATTTGTTACGATCCAAAACTGTTTATCAAAATAAGAAAAATCTTTATATATAATCTTAGAGAAAAAAAAAAAAAAAGACATAAAATTTGAAAACCACAAAATTAAATATTAGTTGCTAAATTTTTACTTAAAATAGTACAAAACACTCACCTTATTTATTTATATTTGTTATTTTTTTATCCTCTTTGATAGAGAAAGTAGGTGCTTGGATGCATTGGACCTAATCCTTGATACAACTATTGAGGATATTTTTAGGAAAGTGTACAAAACCTTAATCAGAGAATTATAAAGTAATAAACAAAGTTATCATTAGTTTTTAGAAAAGATGATCACTACTGGCAATGTTCAATTGTTAATCTCGTTTAAAAAAAAAAAAAAAAAAAGGGACTCACTTGACAGAGGAAGTAAAAAAAATCCACGGGGAGTCGGGGATATAAGGAGGGGAGTGATGTCACTACCTTACCAATTAGTTACCACCACAAAATCACAAAATTTTCAATTGTTAATTTACTAGTGCATCTATCAAGGTTAAGAATTATATTGGTACTGTAGGCATGATTATATATCTTGAAAGTGTCTTGTTTAAAGATATAACAAATAAAATTTTTACATGGTTCACACTTTTGAGTTACACTTTGTATGATTATTTAAAGTATTATTTTGGCCTTTTGGATGGTTTGTATAATTATATTGTATTAGGAGAATGGTATTCGTCTCATATGTTACGATCCAAAGCTGTTTAACAAAGTAAGAAAAATCTTTATATGTAATCTTAAAGAAAAAAAAGGAAAAAGACACAAATTTTGAAAACCGCAAAATTAAATTGTGGTTGCTAAATTATTACTTAAAATAGTACAAAACACTCAACTTTTTTTTTTTTTAACGGATCATAATTAAAACTTATCTTAATCGTTGTTGAGTGAGAAAATACAAAGCATATAAAGTTAATGGTAAGACAAAATATTTGTTGGTCTAAAGTTCAAGCCTTTATATCGATCGAGGTATGTCTTGTCTTTATATCGATCAATGTCTTGTTTTCATTTTTGCAACGAAAATAAGTTTTTTCAAATATATATTCAACATTAAAGTATTGGATAACATTTACTCCAATATCACACTCCCTCATATCTCCAAATTAGCTAGGTTAAAAGGGACATAAGGAGTATGTCCTGAGTAGTATCATAATTTAATTAAAAAAGACACATGGAGTATTATACAATTTTATGCTTGCTAAGGGTCTGTTCTAATTAATTGAACTGAGTTGAATTGAACTTATTGGAGCTGAACATAACTGAATATTTTATGAGAGAAGGAAATTAAGAACTGAACTGAACTTATTGGAGCTGACTGAATAGAAAATAAGCTGAAGAGAACATGCCCTAACACTACTAGTACCACAATATTACTATAATACGGAGTACAATAGTTTGAAATGCTCGTAATTTATTTCAAGACGTGTAGTTATTTCCATGACATAGATTAAATAATAATAATAATTAATTACAGAAGCTATAATATAAGATCTGATATGATATCATATTAGATTTTGGGAGATCTTCTCAATAGGTTGAAGTGTATGTGTCGGCTTATAATGTATATGCCGAATATAGAGGGTTTCAAGAATACTAATCATAAGTACATAGGTTAAGAAACTCATTAATATAAAGAAATATTATACATAGAATAAATTCTAAATTTATGATTAAGTATATCTAATCTTTAAGATCGCTATCAGTTATTTTCCATAATCGGGTACATGGTGATTAATAACTACAAAGGAGAAAACAATAACGAATAAATTTGACCCCATTATCAAGTAATCAACTTGATCAAGCTATATCTCTTTGGTAGTTGGTTAGTGCTTGCCTTAGCATCTAGGCTTAGGACCTTTTCTGATTTACTGAGCTGAGCTGAATTGGATTGAAATGAATTTATTGGAGTTGAACTGAATTAACTGAGTATTTTATGAGAGAAGAAAATTAAGAATTGAACTGAAGTGAACTTATTGAAGCTGAACTGAATTGAAAATAAGCTAAAGAGAACATGCCTTAGTAACCTACGTTAGAATAGTCTTAGTTTAGCCTATAATGTAATGAGATCTATGATCTTCTTCTCCAATTGTAATGACAATAGTAGAGGTAATCTTTATTCTATCATGACTTTCAACAATTTTGCTTGTTTGCATGCACCGCTTACAGATGAATATTAAATAACTTTTGCTTGCTTCATTTATTAGGCTTGTTCGAATTATTTGGTTTTGTTGGTAAATTTATACTTTGAAATGACTCATATGTTAAAGAGACTATTCTAATAGATACAATAACCTTTAAAATTGTACCCTCAAGACACTTTAGACCTCAAATGATAAGGTGTTAATTACTTATTGTCTTATTGAATATTTCTTATCCCAACAAAAAACAGGACTAGAAAATTATTTTAGTTAATTACTAAAGGCAATGAAATTAATGATTGTATAAGTCCATATATAATTTAACCTAATATGTACATTCTATTTTGATCGTTTAAGGATCATTGTTACCGCCTTCATCCAAATTACTTGTCTCACAGGTTACAACCATTTGCTCAAGGTCGAGCAACAAAAAAAAAAAAAATAAAAATAAAAATGATATAGGTGATAACAAACGAAGTGAACTAAAATAGGAAATTAAAATAATTATACATTTTAATAGATAATTATATATATTAATCAAGTGAATTAAAAAGACAAATAAACCTTCCCTCAATTAGAGCATTTTTACGAGCTTCACCCCCTTCTTCTTCTCTCTCCTCCATTGAAGCGTAATCTGAATTCTTTGTTGAAGCGGCTTCTCAGCTTTTTTCTCCTCCATTGAAGCAGCTTCTGAGGTGAGATGTTCTTTATTTGTAATAATCGTATGTCAATTTCACAATCTAATGTTAATCGTTAATTTGATTGTCAGTAAACTCAATTTAGGGTTCTTCTTGGGTGATTTGATTATTGAACTATTGGGTATTAAGTCTATTACTGAAAGAATAAGTAGCGATTTCGTTGTTTGAATTTTGATGTTTATATTATTAAGCGAAAAGAATTTAAGTTTGAACTTTGAACTTTGATTTGATGATTGAGTCAAATTTGGCTGTTAATGTGTTGCAGGATTTTGTATATATAACCCTTTAATGTTAGGAAGAAACTATGAAAAAGGAATTTTTGTACCTGGACCGAGGGCGGCTGCCCCGGCTCCGCCACAACAACCGTCATTTGCACCTCCACCCCCTACACAAAACCCGCTTCCGCCACCGCCATCACGGCCCCAATCTCAGTATACTCAGAATTGGGGTTCGGCGCCTCCCCCTTACCCTCAAAACTATACACAAGTGACTGCCAATCAAAATTTCCAGCATTCAGGGTATAATTCAGGTAGTCAGCAATATCAACCACCTCCACCCCCACCACAACCCCAGCAGCAACCTCAGCAATACCCTTTTCAGCCACCGCCACCTCCACCTGATTCGTCGTATGCCCCTCCCCCGCCCCCTCCTCCTTCTAGTGGTCAAAGCTCGGGCAATGTACATCAACAATATTACCCTACTTCACAATACTCTCAATTTAGTCAACAGCAGCCTCCTTTACAGCCATTGCAACCACCCCCTCCACCACCTCCTCCACCGTCTTCCCCGCCTCCTAGTTCATCTGTTCCTCCACCACCACCCCCTCCATCATCTCCCCCTCCACCACCTCAAAATAAAGAGAGTGGGGGAGAGAGAGGGAGGCATGAGAGAGATAGAAGGTCTTCTAAAGAGGGGAATCACCATGTATCTTCTAGGCAGCACAAGCCTCCAGTACCTCCCGGTCTTGTGAAAAAAGCTAATGGAACTTCGGAGAGGGTTGAGACAGAGGAAGAAAGGAGATTGAGGAAGAAGAGGGAAATGGAGAAGCAAAAACATGAAGAGAGACATAAGCAACACTTGAAAGAGGCGCAAAATCGGCAGAAGCCACCCCAGACTTTGCCTTCTGTAGTAAAACCTGGTAATATGTCAATTTCAGGGTCTAGAATTGGTGAGAAAAGGAGTGCGCCAGTTCTAGGAGGTGACAGGGATGAAAACCCGATGAAGAGACAGACAGCATTCATGTGCAGGATGAAGTAAGTAGTTTTCTCGTCAATTAACATTCATGTTGCTATTTATTTATTACATTGGTCTGAAAGTTGCCTTATGGACTACTTTGTAAATTTGCTTGTTCTTTTCCACATGTATATGGTGCCTGTACTTTTTATCATGCTCTCCGCTGCTTTCATGAAGCTGTAGGAAGATTTCTTTATTGTTTTTTCTGCTAGTATGCATACACTGACATATTATCTATGATAGGTTCCGGAATGAACTGCCTGATCCATCTGCCCAGCCAAAGCTTATGTCTTTAAAAAGAGATAAGGACAGGTATGTGGTTGTACCCTTGTACCTGATATGTGTATTCTGTTCTGCTGCATGTTTACCTTGGTTATTACTCCACTTCTTCAAATATTGAGCAGTTGTTAGTTGGGGCTCGTGAATTGTGATGTGTTGAGTTGATGGTTCCTATGCACAGTATATAGACTAATGCTAATATAAAGCATCATGGTTGAAATCTAGTTTTCTATCCCACTGTTATCAAAAACGTAATTGAACAATTGGTAGTCATTTACTCATTTCAGGTTTGAAGAAAGTTCTCTTGATTTAATGCGCAAGAATTTTCATTTGTCTTTGACTAGATATGATAGATGATTACTTGATGTGACGCAAAGCTCCTGTCTTTGTTTGCAGATTTACTCGGTATACTATCACATCACTGGAGAAAATGCATAAACCAAAGCTATATGTGGAGCCTGATCTTGGCATTCCACTTGACCTCCTTGATCTTAGTGTCTACAAGTATGTATTATCTTTTGCTGTTCGTTGAACTATTTTCTTGTACTTGCCTTCTTATCAATCAACTCATATAAATTTTATTTTGTATTTTCTATCAACTTCTAGCCCTCCCAAAGAGAGGTATCCTCTTGCTCCTGAAGATGAGGAATTGCTACGTGATGATGAGCAAGTGACTCCATTAAAGAGAGATGGAATTAAGAGAAAAGAACGCCCCAGTGATCAAGGCGTCTCTTGGCTTGTTAAGACACAATATATTTCTGCTCTCAGCAATGATGGGACCAAACAGGTTATTTCTTATGATCTAATTGTCTTCCGATGCCTAAGCAACATAGTTTGATATTTACTGACTGATATATATGTGTATTTGCAGTCCTTAACTGAAAAACAAGCAAAAGAATTGCGTGAAATGAGAGAAGGCCGTAGCTATTTGCAAAATCTTAACAATAGGTTTGGTTCATTGTTTTTTTTTGTTTGAAAATTTGTGGGACTTATTTCAATCTTTATTAGTAACTCTTTGCTCAACACTCTGTTTCCTCTTTTCAGGGAAAGACAAATTCAGGAAATCCAAGCTTCATTTGAGGCTTGCAAAGTACGCCCTGTACATGCTACTAATAAAAACTTGAAACCTGTGGAGGTTCTACCATTACTGCCTTATTTTGATCGGTACGATATTCCATCTTTTATGCTCACCAATAATGTTAGTTTCTTTTTTCATATTATTTTTTTATTTGTTCTTTATTGTTACTCCGTACTCTGTATTATTTTGTCATTGGAGTATTTTTTCACATAGTATTACCTATACTGTTACATTACTACGTTGGACATTAGCTATTTCTTTGCATGCAAGTTTGAGGTATCTTGCTGATTCATGCATCATATGATGCTACAGTTATGATGATCAGTTTGTTGTCGCCAACTTTGATGGAGAACCTACAGCTGACTCAGAGTTGTTCAGCAAAATGCACAAATCCGTTCGCAAAGACATTGAATCAAAGGTAATTTTCTAGACTACTTGATCAGCAGCTCAATTGATACTTATTCTTATTACTTTCATATATGGAACTTTAGACTGTAACACAATTGCTTCTTTAACTTATTTTTAGCTCTTATCTCAAGCCATTCTGTATTGCAATTTTAACTGATCTGCTTTGTCCTTTGCTACAGGCTGTAATGAAAAGTTTTACTGCAACGGGATCTGATCCTGATAAACCTGAACGATTTTTGGGATACATGGTCCCGTCAACGGATGAGGTTAGATATCACGTGATTAGCTATATTTATAAATTGACAGTACTGTTTGCACTTGCACTGGTTTACAGCTAGCAAACTTTGCTGACAAGCTTTGTTGATTATGACAGCTATCAAAGGACATCTTCGATGAAGATGAAGATGTCTCATACTCTTGGGTCCGAGAATATAATTGGGATGTATGTACTATGATTTGTTTTCTTGCAGCATGTTAAAGTCTTGTGTTCATCCATTTGGAATTAGTACTGAAGATTTTTATTTGGTCAATGCAGGTCAAAGGAGAAGACCCAGATGAACTCTCAACATATTTGGTGTCATTTGACGAAGATGCTGCTCGCTACCTGGTATATCGAACTTTCTTTTTCCATCCCTACCCCTTTATAAAAGACAGACCGTCCACTGTTGTGAGCTTTGTACTCATATCGGTCTGTTAAAATTGCAAAATTATTGTTGTCATTGCAGCCTCTTCCTACAAAGCTTGCACTGAGAAAAAGGAGGTCAAAAGAGGGAAGGTCCCAGGAAGATGGAGAACAATTTGTTCAACCGGGCAAGCTTACTGTCAGGAGAAGGGAGACTACCTCTGTCATTGAAAGGAAGGAATCAGCGGTATGATGTTAAACACAAATCTTGTGTAGTGAATTAGTGATATTAGGGACCAGGGAAGTTAAATTACTGATGAATTTTTGGCTGTGTGATGTTTTCAGAATGATTCTTACTATAGATCAGGTCCTTCAAGATCTAGTAGGCCGGAATCTGATATTGAAGAAGAGGATCAAGAACGTATGGATGTCGGGGATGCTGGGGACGATCAAATGGGGCATTACAGTGGAGGGGATGACTATTTGTCTGAGTGACATGAATGACATGTAAACACAAATGTTGAATCAGGGTAGTATGTCATCCAAGAACAAATTTTTCTACTAGCTAATTTGAAAGATTTTTGGTAGTTATTTATCCTTTGATTTTTTGGTAGTCCATTCCTTTTACTTTTTACTTTCTCATTAGATTAGATCATCACAGTAGCTTCAACAAGATGGGAGTTGGAGCACTGCTGAAAGCAGAGTAGATTGTAGAGAAAATATATGTATTTAACCTTTAATAGTATAATTGGAATGATTCAAATATTTCAGTTTTGTACTGTTCTACTTGCCTATAAGCTGTAAGAATTACGCGATCTAATAATACCTCTCATACCGTATTAACTAATTTCTCAACTTTAAACTTTAGCTGCATTTGTTTTGCATTTTCAATTGAAACCCCTATCCCAATAACAAAATAAAAGTCCCAAGTTTGTAATGATCTCAAGTGGCTACAACATACATCCCAACTACATTCTCAGACCTGGGTGTGCGAGCATATATTCTTCAGGATGTCTTGTAATCCCAAGTGTAGATGAGGAAATCCTGTACTCCAGGGTCGAAGCATATAATTGTAATCATATTTCAAATATCTGACACACTTTTAAATTCTGAGCACCAAAAATCATATTTCAAATATTTGACACCCTTTTAAATTCTGAGTACCAAAACTCTGAAACAGAACCAGAATATGAACAAGATGGAAGATAAATTAATGTCTTAAGGTTTACACTAATGCTTTCTGCCTTTCTTCATATAGTTATACAAACACATCTTTAAAAATGTTCCCAGTTCCTCATTGCCATTACACCCAAGTGAAAAGAAGTGCAAATGGTACATACATACGGAAGAAAACTCAAACTCTAAAATTAGTCGCCACAAGAAGAATATGATGAATATTCAGGTTGATCTTGCAGCTACTAGTAACTTCACATTAATCATCAGTGCCAAAGCGTACTGGACTTGTTTCACAACATATACTGATAGGTAACAAAAAGACGATGAAACATTTACACAGTTTCAAATTTACACAACCTCGCCCATTGATCAGTTGATGTGAGTTGAGCTGATGTTTCCAGAAGACCTGCAGAGACATGTTTCAGAGGTTAATATTTCTTTTTTCATAACAAAATTGGAAAAATACAGCAATCCGAAAGCAACAAAAAAAAGCTAGCATATTCCCTCAAGTGATTAAGTATGAAAGGAAAGCAAGAGAGAACAAGGAATATGCCACAATAGACATAAAGACAAGAAAACTAGGCATTTCGAACCCATTAAGATCATTAATCATAGAGAAGAAAATTACTTCCATAAGCCTTACGCTTCATTGGGTATAATATTAGTAAAGGAAAAAGCGATAATAGGGAATAAGACATAAAGGAAGAGAAGGTAAAGGGAAAGGAAATAAATTTTACTTTCATTGTTTGGTTTAGTGGAAGTGTGAAGAGAAGAGAAAGTAATTATGATTGATGGCTTTTAATTCTCCTCTCAAATTTCTCCGATTTTGGGAAGGAAGGAAAATGAAAATTTTATCAAGGGGCTTTCCAATCACTTCACTTCCTTTCCTATCATATCATGTTTCACACCAAAGATGAGATCATGATATAAGCCATTTTGTCAACTGAAAAGTGATGTGCCCACTGAAAGTGATGAGAACAAAATACAAAACCCTTAACAAGTGGGCAAACGGGACAAGAGAGTGAAGCCCTCAACATAATTATATTAGCCCAAAAGATATACAAAGTTTCAGATACTCTGGGTCTACTTTAGTGTCTGGGCTGGAAATGGGGTTGTATAACGTACAGATTACGAAATTAGATTGATTAACTCAGCAGAAATTAACTAAGTGAAAAAACCACTAATGAATGATCATTAGCCTCAATAAATTAGTCCCCTAAACTATTTCAAAACGAAATAAATGCAACGAGGACCTTGTACATAAGCCAGCAATGTCATCATTGTTAGCTATGAGGAGCATCATAAGGGAAGAAATTTATACTTATACTGTTATACAGTTGTACCTAGCTAGTCAAGAGTCTCAAAGGCCAGCAAAAACTAGTTAGGCTGTTCCACATGCACCATACAGAAAATTAATTGTAGGAGAGAGTAATTGACAATAAAAAAGAAACCAATTATACCTATAAATTCGTTCAGCTTTTCTTGCTGGTTTCTCATCATCTCATGATACAGCCTCCACCACGATAAATCACTATCCCACTCTAGGCGGAAATAACAAAAGATCTACACAAAAAAGCATAACACATTAGTGTACAATCTGTAGATAGAACTGTGAATTCCTCTCTTGTGTCTGCACCTGAACCCAACTAGGATATCCCCCTTTCTTTCAGTCTAGGAAGCTATGCAATGTGCAATTTCTCCCCACCTTTTCCTTTCCCTTCATGTGTATACTCCATTAGCCCATAGTTGTAGCCTTTATTGAAGTTTTTACAACTCATTAATACAACTCCTCTGTCACTTTTATGCTTATAGACTGTACCTTTTATTGCTCAACATTATCCTCTAGTCCCTACTCTCCAAAAACAATTATCTCCAAACTTTGAGAATAGCCTCAGCACCACTCTATAATAATGAGGATAGCACTGCAAAAATCTAGTTCTCTCCATTAGTGATATCTATACTAAAGTTATCGTAGAAGAGTTATAAAGCTCACCGCATAACTCCTATTGGTCTTAATGACAACAAATTCTTCATGCGAATGAAGACCTATTAAACAAAAATACAATTCATTAAGTGAACAAAAAGTATTTATGAAGGATTAACTATGATGTAGATGTAAGAGCAACATAAATAATACAGACCATGCTTGCCGGCATCTGACAGCTTCTTGGCGAACACTCCTCTTTGGATCATCAAGAACCTTGGACAAAGCTCTTAGCACCTATATTATCAAATATGAAATCCAACATTAACCAATTCCATTCTTTGGCATTATATTGACTCAAAGGAAGGGTATTTCAGATAGTCTCAATTTACAACTAATTTCAATTCACCAGTCATCAGAACATTTTCTGACAGCTCAGTGATAGACAATACAGTCAGGAACTCAGGATTACACACCGAGGGCATGATGATTGTTGCTCAGGACAACCAAGCATACATTTTGTCATTTTGATACCTCCTTGTACATAATTTTTTTTATTACTTTTACCAACAATCAAGGCAAAATGAACAACCAAATTAAGGTTCTACCCAAAATAAATTTGTTTTGACCATTATAGGGAGGATGGTAAAGATGTTTTTCAGTATAGAAAGTTATATTGACCTGTAACCGCATTGGATAAATTCTTGTATGGGGCATCCCTGACACAGCAACAAGACACTGTATTGCAGTTTCTCGTACAACCTGCATAAATTCAGAAGGAACAAGTAAATTACTTCATCACAATTAAGTTGAATTACATACGTGAAAACTAGAAACATCAGCCCTTCAGAATCACAGGTCAAGCAGAGAGAAGAACAAAACAAGTTGCACTTGTATATAAATATCTGTAAATTAAGTTACTTCACCGGTACTTAATGAGTATATGAAACACTGGGAATGTAGTGTGAATTCTTAAAGTATAAAGGTACCCAGCGAGAATACCCAATTTAAAATAAAGGCATGCAGAGTTAGGTATGCCAAACAATGCAAAAATAAAAAGATGTAAAATGAAAGCTACTGAGTGACACATATTACCATCTTATGGGGATAAGAAACAAGTCCAGTCAAGCAGTTTATTATAACATGGACATTCTCCACAGCAGTGTCTTGTCCTGCAAAAGATAGAAGCATAATGCATATAATCATTTGGTATCCAGAATATAATAGTAATAATTTTCAGAAACATTTAATATTATATTGAAAATAGACTTTCAAAGAAAATATAGCAAGCTCGGAAAAATGTCTTGCAATTATTTTCTTCCAGATAAAAAAAAATGAGTGCTATCAATGAACGTACATAAAGTACTGATTTTGTATGACATGTTTATTTTCAAAAGAGGAAACTAAATCAATGTGCAACCTGAGATAATTAGTTTGGTTCAAGCATCACAAAAGCAGATTTACGCAGAAATTTGCTAACAGGTAGTGCTCTCACAGTCTCACCACTCAACTGCAAAGTGTTCTTGCATCCACAGTGATGGAGATGCTAAAGACGTCTATATATACTGAAAGTAGAATTGTCTCTTCAGGGGCCTTTTCTTACAATAATTCTTTGAAAATATGGTTTTTGTCATGATTGTGGGAGCAATCATGGTGTAACGGAAACGGAATTGATGCATTGATCGTATCTTGGTTGTCACAATACGAATTTGATTTCAAAGCCTTTTTAGGATTTTATATCAACTGTATGCTATTACAGTAGTTATAGTAGACTATTAGAGGCTTAAAGCCATTATTAGGGGAGACATGGAAAATTTTATTGCTACAACTCGGATTTGAATGCTTGATTCAAACGATATAGTGGGATTTTGGAAAAAACACCACTTACTGAAAAATAATTTCAGCACCATCAATTGAAAACTCTTTACAAAACGACCTGATTGAAATGAAGCGGTCATATATATGTATTATGCTTGGATGTGCGGGAATACTTTAAGAGATAGAATCAGTAATGGGGTTATTTGCAAGAAAGTAGGGGTGACAGGCATTGCAAACAAACTAAGGGAAAATTGTCTGCGTTGGTTTGGACATGTAAGACGGAGACCCGAGGGTGCTCTGGTACGATGAGTGGAAGAGTGGGACCATGGAGGGGTTAAACGAGGGAGAAGGATATGAAGTATATGGATTTGCATGAGGATGAGGCATTGGATCGTAAGGGATAAAGGAGGAAGATTTTTATCGATGACTACACGGAATAATCACTTTTGGTTCACGTAGCCGCATCCACTTATGGTATTAAGGCTTTGATTGATATATATGTACCATGCTTACAACTACAAGTCTTTTCAATGCTGATGAACGAGATCCTCTAGGTATTAGCTTCTCCAATTGCAAACTTCATCTGGAAGGCAAAGGTTCCTCTAAACATGATAAATCTTCAAGTGGAGAATGGGGAGGATTGATACTAAGATAGGCTCCAAGTTAAAGTGGACTATTACCCGATATCTACTGCTTTCTGAGTTAACAGTGAATCTTGTCGCCATTTGATTAATAGTGTGAAGTTGCTTTTTATCTTTAGAGGATGTTTGCATAGCAAGTCTAGGGTTGCCCTCTGAACAATAAATATTGGCTGCAGATTTTCTTTACAGGGTATGGAGATGGACAGGTAAAACAGAAAA